GGTCAGGGGCCCCCAAGAGGTAAGCAGCCCTGTCAAAGGGAAGAGGCTTACCGATGGGAGGAGCAGCGTAGGAGAGAGGAGAGGGATTGGTCAAGTTTGGGCGAACACAGGTGCATGTCTGTTGAGGGGAGGGGAGGGCTGACTGCCAGGTGGTGGGAGGGACTGAGGATGCTCTTGGGATCATTAGGTAGGGAGGGGCTTTAGTGGCGTACAGCAGGAGGGCAGAATTGACCTAGGGTGTCTGGGGCTATCCCAGGATCTTCACAAGGCACATCATGCTTCAGAGGCTGCCTCGGTGAGACCCCAACTAGAAACTCCACCAGGTGAACTGGACTATACCCGACACACCTGTAACCTGAGGACTTAAGCTGGAAAACACAGGGTGTCTTGAGGTATTAGAAGACAGCTGCCCCCAAAGCAGTGTACTGGTGGCTGGTGAACAAACAAGGTTTTGGTACATCAACACCCTGCGTGCTGTACTAAGATACATACTATCCTGGCAATCCTGTGACGGCCATTCTGTTATACTCTGCTTATGCTCATTTACATTAGGGTGTATCTCAAGGTATGTTGCCATTAGGGCTCACCCTCTTGAAGCTGTGTGTTATTTCTTTATTTTTCAGTAAATGAGACCCATGGATGTTGAGCCTACAGGGAAAGAAAATATAACAAGGGTTTGGGGGAAAGGGGATAAAGAGGGGTGGGGGAAATTAGAAGGAGATGTCAAGAAGTCCAAGAAGGAAAAGTATGTTTAGGAAAACATTAAACATGTCTGATTGTGGAAGAAACTGTACAATTATGACATGATCGAACTATGGAATGATATATGTAGTTTCTCCCAAGTTGCTGCAAATTGGGGGGTGGGGAGGTGGGAAGACATAGATCCAGGAATGGGTTTTGGGATCACACTAAATCCTAGCTCCAACTGAAGAACAATCAGTTCATACATCATGGCCCTACTCGGTATTCACCTTCATGAAATGATCACTGAAGATACGGGTTCTACAGCAAAATGCACAGAAAGCAGATGGTGCCCGGCGGTCAATTGGAACAGTGTCTGGGGTCTTAGAGGCTTGTATTCACACAAGCAGCCATTTAAGCGAGCAGTCATCTTTGAGTCCACATGGAAGCACACCAGCTTTTGCGATCCACAGTGAGTTACAACATTTGAATATGATGAGAAACGTATCAGAGCAAAAATTATCAACACTCGATTTGTGGAAAGCAATGGGAACGGTGGGAGCCCCAAACCCATCTGCAGAGTATCTAGTCCGACTGAGCCCCTGGCAGATCCGCTCTAGCCACAGCCAAGAGTCTCGGACAGCCTGACTATCAGGCAAAGACCATTGTAATCTTGACTCTGCTGGATCAATGTTGATACTTGGCCAGTTGACCACCCTGGAGACGCAACTGAGTTTGCTCTGAAGGCAAGTATCTCTTACTGGTTCCACGACCGAAGTTTCTTCCCTGGCTTTTTGAATGTTGTTGGGGGTCTTTTTCTTCTTATGCATTATGTGTCTTTTTGTCTGTACACCATTAGGTTTTTACCCTTACCACCTGTGGTAGTCACCTAATCTGGTGCCAATTTAAGGATGAAGAGTGTAGGGGTGGAGTCTAGGCTGTCAATCTGGAGATAGCCAATGAGACTTCTGTGGGATGGCCTTCTCCTGAGAATTCTGGGAAATCTGGCAATTCCTTCTTGGAGGTGGGAGAGACACACACTCTCTGCTACTCCCTGGGAGACATTGCAGAAGACAAGCCACATGGACGCAACCAGACCTCAGAAGCCAGAGAAGCCACAGAGAGACCCCTGCCAGCGCTGAGATGTTTCCAGCGACACTGGACCCAAAGACTTTCTATCCACTGGCTTGTGATCATCCTGCATTTGGCATCATTGCATGTGTTTTGTGAGTCTGAAGAGGGCTGTATAGATTTGTATCAGGCATATGCGCTTATATCAGACTTATGGCCTTGGACTGGACTGGGTTGGGATGTTTTCTCAATGTTCAATTCCTCTTGTATATAAATCTTTCTTATACACATATGTGTGTTTATGAATTTGTTTCTCTAGTCTACCCAGGCTGACACACCACCTTAGCGTGATTGTTTATTGTTTTCTGTTGGGTCTCCCAGCTGTGAAGCACAGGAAGAGTGGATGCATAATAAGAATAACTGTTATAAGAGGTTATAGGGAATATGGGGCGGGGGGAGCGTAGATGACAGGGAGAGTAAGGGGCTTTCAGGAGTACATAATGAAGGCGAGGGGGGGAGTGAGCTCTAGAGTGGATTGTGATTGCATAACTCAATAACTCATCTTAGAGGCGATTTAACCATAGGGAGGGGGTAAAGCTCTAAAATTGATGTGGGAGTGATTGTACAATTCTCCTTGATCTGGTCGAACTATTATATGATATGTAAATTACTTGCCAATAAAACTGTTGGAAAAGAAAACAGCTCTGTTCAGGGTTGAACTGAACCAAAAGCAACTAAGAGAAATCTAATTCTACCTAAACCCCAACTCACTGTCAGTTTCAGAACCCTGCAGGAGGACTGCCACATATGGTTTCTGAGGCTGTCAGTCTTTAGAGGAGCAGACTGACACTTCCAAATGAAGTATTTAGCCCACTGATTTCTCCATGGGCTAGAACCCCTGACTTTCCTATTAACAGCCAAAGATCGAAGCAATGGGCTCCTGTGTTGTCCTTATGAAAACACAAATACTAAGCCCGTTGCCATCCAGTTGGTTTTAACTCACGCTAATGCTGTGTGTATTACAGTTGAACTGCAACTTGTGGCTGATTTTTTTCAGAATTAGGTCTCTAGAGGCCTTTTCCAAAGCCATCTTTGGCGATTTTAACACTCAACCTTAAGATTACAGCGAGTGTATGACTGTCTGTACCATTGAGGCTTTTGTATCCGATCACTTTTCTATGATTCAGCTCCAGCTTGCCTCTTGTGGTAAATTCGACTGTAGTCAGATTATAGTGTGTCATTCCTCACTTAGCCCAACACAAGGGCATTCACTCACTGATATCAAGTTGAGCAGAAAGCCTTCTCGTTCTCCCTCACAATGTCTCGTGGTCTTGAACTGCTGACCTTGCAGTTAGCTGCCCAAGACATAACCTACTACGCCACCAGGGCTCCTATAAAGGCCTAAATAAGTATGACCATAGAGAGTCACATAATTTCATTCTCTGTTGCATACACAAGCAAGGTGGGTTCGACCCTGGGCTGCTAATCACTTTGTGGGACAAAGATGTGATAATCTATAGAAACTTCCAGCTGCAAAAACTCCACGGGGCAGTTCCCTTCTCTTCTATGGAGTTGTGAGGAATTGGAATCAACTTGCGCACAGTGGGTTTGGATTTGGGTACAGTCTGTTGCATGTGTGATATCATAATGACCAACTTGGCACAAACCTACAATTTGTAAAAAGATGTCGTATCTACACAATGTAACACAGTACGGCACCCAGATGTAAGGCATGTCTGGACACGTGAAAACTAATCATTTGCTGGGTAAGCCACAAGACAATTGGGGTTATGTGTGATATAATTACCTAACTTATTGACATATCTCTTCTACGAGGTCTTTAAAGATTACTTCAAGGAGAATCGGCCCACTTACAATTAACAGTGCATTTGAATAAAAGCTATCATAACACAAAGAGATGGAAAAAATCCAGAAAGAGAGAAGATTAAGGAGGTAAAATAGTATGTTTTCTGATAATGTTGAGAATCAACTTGGAATGTTTTGTAGGCAAATAGAAATACAGGTGAGATAGTGGCAGAGGAAATGGGCTTATCACAAGAGGCGATGATGAGAATCATTAAAACTCACCGGCCCTTCAAGGGTTTGAACACAAATAGCGAAAAAGGCCACTGGGACAAGTCCTGTGAACCACTGTAGTCAGAAGAGAAAGAAAGAAACATCCAAAAGAGAGATCGACTAGAGAACTGAGCCGATTCTTGTGGGGTCAAACAAGAGACAGAAACACGTCTCACAAAATGCAACTGGATTCCGGTATACCGGCTTTCCACAGCCAGATGAACTCGAACCAACTCATGTTAGTCCTTTCCTCTGAATTAATTACATGCATTCACCTCCCGGAGAGAAAGAAAACAACTCCAGTTAGATAGACGAGTTAAGCCGAGTCAAAACACACACCAGAGGTGAAAAGGGTACATTTCCTCAGGGAGAGTGCTCGAGCTGTGGCAGATGTTTCCACAGAGAGTTGGTTATGATGTAAGTTGGATATATCTCATTTCGGTGGTCTTCATCATAGGGAAAATGATTAAAAAAATTCTAGTTTCAGGGTCCACAACTGTATTGGTACCACATCAGACCCAGAGTGAAAAATAAACACACAGACAAGTTTATTTTATTTTGTCCCATAGGAATCTTTTTCTTTTTTTCCTTCCTTCCTTCCTTTTCTTTCTTTCTTAGGAATCTTTCTAAAACCAGAATACAGGGACGCAAGGCCTAATCTTCTGTGGTACCACTGGATGGTTGCACACCAAAAAAATGTAGGTTCATAGTTGACCATAAACTATGTACATCGCCCAGGAACCTGATGCATAGAAATCCAAATAAACATGCTGCTAACAAGTTGTTTGTGACCCCAAGTGACCCCACGGGACACGGCAGAAGGCTCCAGAGTGGGTCTCAGGCCATCAATCTTCACAGAAGCAGACTCACACAATTTGCCTCCAGAGTGGCTGGAGGGTTCGAAAAGCCACCTTTTCAGGTGTACCCCACCAGTGATTTTTCTGCAAATGGTAGGTAGTCAATACGTATCTAACGAATTAAGGAAAGAAGAGCAGCGCACCCTCACCCAAGGAGAGCAGATTCCCATAGATCTCCAGCATCACCTCTTTGTACAGGGTCTTCTGCTCGGAGCTCAGTCTTTCCCATTCTGCCTCTGTGAAGACCACGGTGACATCCTCAAAGGTAACTGGCTCCTAGAATAAGCGGTAAGTCAATGCACAGAATGTCACCTCTCCACCCAACAGCAGGGGCAGCAGACCAGGGCAGGTGTGTGGGAGATGACAACACACTGCACAATGGAATGATGCAACTGTTTATGGACACTTTGATCTTCTAAACAACAACAAACCCTATAACACATTGCCGTGGGGTTGGGCCCAACTCAGACACCCTCCAGACGAGAAGGCTGTCCATCCTTATGAAGCAGGCTTCCACATCAGCTACTGCACAGCCAAATACTGAATCACTATATCACCAGGGCTCCTAAGTGGTATAATTTAAACCCCATTTGCTGTATAATTCATTAAGTTTAAATACAGCAATCTTCATTATGCCTTGATCTAATACGGGTTCATGTCAGCTACCTTAGTATAAATAGCCTTAGTGCCCCAACAACAACATCAGTTTAGATTTCAGTTGCTATGGCATATTGACTGTAACTGCATAAAGTACAATCGTTTTTGCCTAGCTCTTCAATTCACAGATGACAAAAATACAGCTGAGCATCAAGACCAGTAATGAATGTCATCGCTTTTTTTCAAACACCAGCTGATGCCAGGGGACGGAGGGTGACTGAGTCAATCAACCATGACTAAGTAATGAAGTCAACAAAGGTTTGGGGCAGAGAAGCTTCAAGGGCTTTCTGGGGTGAGCGACATGGATGCCTGAGGGATGGAGACGGCACCTCTTTTAGATACTTGGAAGGAAGTTCCCCACTGGGAAGCCTCCTGAATCTTGCCTTATGCATACCTTCCTTTATATCTGGTTTTGCTTTAATAAAGCGGTAATCACACATCAGAGCACCTTTAGTAAGTTTCGTGAGTTGCTCTAGTGAATTACCACAAACACACGCGTAAAGGGGACTGACAGGTCAAAGGACAGTGAGCACTGGGAAATCACAGGCTTGAGGCTGACCTCCTGAAGGAGTAGAAGAAAACCCTGAACTTGTAGGCAGGTCACAAGTGAGTGAAATTTGGTGACATTGTGGGTTAGGCCATGGGATGCTAACCTCAAAGTCAGCAGTTTAAACCCCCCAAATGTTGTGGGAAGGACAGAGGAGACTGTCTGTACCCGTTACGATTTATAATCTCAGAAACCCCACACTGGGTTGCTAAGAGTCAGAATCAATTCGATGGGATGACTTTGGCTGTTCTAAGTCATAAGTGAGGGAGCCTAGTTTCAAGGGCAATATTGCCTGAACTTGTGAGACATAACCTAGCTCCAGATGGTGGGGGTCGGAGCAAGAATTGCCGCATGGGAAGCTGGTGTCAGAGCTGAACAGCCAAGTGAAAAAGTAGAAATTGTGAGATTTGACTATTTGAGATTTATTGGCAAAAGATATTCTTGGAAACATCACGGCTGTGACAGATGGCTATTGAAGTACAGGAAGATTTTCCTATGTTCTCTATTTCTGTATGTTTATAGAAAGTTAAGTCATTAAAAGGCAAAAGGTACCCAGGATACAAGATGAAAATGTATAAGGATATGTAGTGAAATACAATAGTATAATTAACATTTTGGATAATCTGTTTTTTTAAAAAATACCACTTTTGTGTTACTTTTCTGGATTCTGAACATTAATCCTTAGTGTATTTTTCAAAAAGGAAAATAAAGTACAAAAATGCAGAAACTATTCTAAAACATCTACAGTAACACCAGACATGCTATACATTAGAAGTTCAAATGTTAATTGCTTTGTCCCTTCCCTAGACAAGAGATTATGACCTTATAATCTATAATGCAGCGATTCTCAACCTGTGGGTTGCGACCCCTTTGGGGGTTGAACGACCCTTTCACAGGGGTCGCCTAAGACCATTGGAAAACACATATTTCCGATGGTGTTAGGAATGGAGATCCCGCTCCTCTATCTTAACCTTGGCAGTGACGTTGGCTTTTTAACCATACTGTAGCAAAATATAGCGATGTAGTTTACTGTTGTTATGTTAAGACTCTTACCCATGCTACACCATGCTTCCAGACAAAATTTCATTGATTTGTCATTAGAAATAAATATTTCACAATCTATAATTACATATTGTTTTTGTAATTAATCACTATGCTTTAATTATGTTCAGTTTATAACAATGAAAATATATCCTGCATATCAGATATTTACATGACGGTTCATAACAGTAGCAAAATTACACTTATGATGTAGCAACGAAAAATGTTATGGTCTAGACTCACTACAACATGAGGAACTGTATTAAAGGGTCGCAGCATTAGGAAAGTTGAGAACCACTGCTATAATGCCTGAAACAGTGCTTGACACAAGGGCAAGAAGTATCTAAAAGTTGATCACCTCTTTTCTCAAGACTGAGAGCAATGGTCTAGCCCCTGGGCATTTCAGAAAAATACGGTAATTCCAACTCACCTGTAATCCAGGCTTCCTCTTCTCCTTTTGGAATATATCAGTAGCCTTAGAAGGCAAACCTACAGGGAGAAAAAGAAACGGGGAGGAAGAGGCCCTCCCACAAAGCTCCCAGAGCAGCTCTTGTGACATGGGACAGAAGGAAGTAGCCACTCCACTGAACCGTGGCCCCCAACACATCCTCACTGAAACTGGAGCCCGGTACCCCTGCCCTCCCCTCTCCGAACCCTCAAAAGTCTCACCTTTTGCCTGCTCTCTGGGAGTCAGTGTCTTCATGGTGGTCCTAGCTTTCCTGTGCTTTCGAGTCAAAATCTTCTCTCAGTCCCGAGTTCCCCATGCAGAAGGATCAGCCGCCATGTAATGGCCCCAGACTCAGTCCCATAACGGCCTGGAAACTGCTACAGGACAAGTATTTCATCTGCAAGCAGATGTCTGCTGCCGGGTGACTGCTCCACACCTCAGGTAGGAAGATCCCTTGTCTCCCTGCATCCAGGGCCTGTGGGAGGGAGAAGTGACTTTTAGATGCTTTTAGATCCTAATTGCATGCTCTACACTTGGGCTTCATCAGCATTAAGGGACTCACACCTTAGAACAGTTAGTCATCTTACACCCAAAGGAGAAAAGCATTGACCCAAGGGCAAAGTTCAGATGGTTAGCTCAGGTCTTTAAATCCACTATAAAAAAAACCCTATCAAATGAATTCTGAGTCATATCGACTGTATTAGGCAGAGTAGAACTGCCCGGTAAGTTTCAAAGCTGTAAATGTTTACCAGAGTAGAAAGCTCCATCTTTCTACCTCAGAACGCTGGTGAGGTCCAAGTCATGACCCTGTGGCTAACGGCCTAATGCGTAACCTGCCCAGTCACCAGGGCTCCTCCGAGCACCTTCAAGTGGGTCAAGGCATGCTGCGCACACAGGGTTGAAGGCAATGGCGATGTGCATGACCTCAGGGCCACCAGGTCACTCCCTGAATGGGGTGGCAGGAGTGCTCAGAGATGGACCACCACCCCACCACCCCGCCCACCGTCCTCCCTCTTGGAGGTGGTGGTAGGTAAACAACAGCATGCCAGGGAATGGAGCACAGCAGCACTGCCTTGGTGGGGTAGGGGTGGAGGGGGGGGACGTCGGATGGGATGGATGCCAGCAGCGGAGAGAGGCCAAGTCCAGCCAGACTGGCCCAACTGCTCCTATGAGGAGAGCTAGGGAGAGAGGCCGTTCCAGGAGCGCCTCTCAGGGGCCCGGGAGGCAATCAGCTCAGAGGTGCTGCCCTGGATCAGAAGCTGCCTACTGAGGAGCAGGCGCTGCGGGGAGTGGCAGAGTTGGTGAGGGGGAACGCTAGAAAAGCTCGCCCTAGCAACCACAGAGCCTCAGATACAAGCACTCACCCTGACTCCTTTGCATTTGGAGGAAAAAATAAACAAAAGGGTGCTGCTTTCCTTAAACACACACACACACACACACACACACACACACACACACACACAAAATGAAGCTACAGGCAAGACGGGCGGTTAAGCTGCTTGAACAAATGCCAGGCAATACACACAAGGGAGATGATGGGACTAAGGTGTTTTGGGGCAAGCTTATTTTAGAATCGTTCTGAAGATTTCCAAGTTTTTAGAATGCTGGACCTGCCACACTGACTTCTAATTTAAAAGAATATTTTCCCCATAGGATAAAGAAGCCTTTTATGACCACAAGTGAAAAATCCCAAATCGACTTCATTAGAATCTCAGTAAAAGAGACCTTACTTGATTCTTCTCACCAGTCCTTGTCATTACATGGCAGAACGCAAGATTTGGATCCACCTTCCCAGTTTTCAAAAGCCCTGGATGCTGTCCGAAGGACTGAACCAGCCCAGGGAGGCAAACTGAACTCTGGGCTGTCCAGGCAGCCAAAGCAGACTCCAAGGGAAGGAGTAGCTGGTTGAACCCCTCTGGCTGAAAATCAGGAGAAGTGCGATTCAGGCTTATATCCTTCCACCATACTTACCTCATGTGTCTGCTGGCTAAATAATCAGTATAATATAAATTACACTGCAGCAACTCGTAAACGCTGTGTGAAATTTTTATTACATGCTGTTACCCAAAGAGCAAATCTAATAGTCATAAAAAGAATAATGTATACTGAATTTCCTAGTATTTCACAGCATCTGGAGACCACGTCTTCAGCAGGTGATCTACAAAAGCCAGGCTATTCCTCTAAACGTGGCTGTACACTACAGGCTTGCTCGGGCGCCAGGTCCAGATGGAGAGGTCAGCCTGGACATAGCTGAGATGACATATGTACATATTTCCCATCCAGAGCCAAAACTGGGTTCAAACAGCTATCCTTTTAGTTAGCAGCTAAGCGCTTCACTCACTTTGCTGACAATGTCCATCCTGGGGCTCCATACATGATAAGGTCTCAAACCACTCCCTAGGAATGTACTACCAACATGAAACTCACCTACAGTCCCCTCACCACCAGCTCAACAAACCATGGCACAGTAAATCCTGCGACATCATGACTCCTTACTCTTCCCCCCAACTACCACTTGAGATGTCTTCCAAACCCACTCACAGCCCTTGAGATTTTCCCAACTTGTGCCGACCTTTAGGGCCCAGAGATGGCCCATAAGTTTTCCAAGGTAATATATCTACCACGTGGCTGTCGGTGCGTCATACTGTGGCGGTTTGCATGCTGCTGTAATGCTGGAAGCTATTATCATTGCTATGCTAAATACTAGCAGGGTCACCCAAGTTGAACGGGGTCCAGTGAAGCTTCCCGACTAAGAACAGTCTACAAAGGCTGTCCACAGAGGATAAGCCACTGAAAACTGTGTGAATGGGAGCAGAACACTGTCAGATGTAGCGCTGGAAGGGGAACCTCTCAGGATGGAAGGCACTCAACATACAATGAGGATGTGGACGGAGGAAAGCTTCCGTGGCTGTCACTTGGTGATGAGGCACCACGCAAAAGGAGAAGTAGCCGCTGCAAAGACCCATCATCATCAGAGTGTGGAGTGTTCAATGTATGCATCCAGGAAATCCAGAACGCATCAAAAAGGAAATGCAAGGCTTAAAAATGGATATCCTAGGCATTTAGGGAGCTGAAATGGACTCATCTTGGCCATGTTGAATCAGACAATCTTATAATCTACTATGCTGGGAATGACAAATTAAAAAGGAATGTTGTAGTACTCATTGGCAACAAGAACATTTCAAGATTCATCTTCACTAAATGCGGTCTGTGATAGAATATCTACATGCCTACAAAGAAACTCGGTTAATACAACTATTATCAAATTTATGAACCAACCACTAAAGCTAGTGATGAAGACACTGAAGAATTCTATCAACTTCTTCAGTCTGAAATTGAGCAAGCATGCAATCAAGATGCATTGATAATTATTGGCAACTGGAATGGGAACGTTGAAAACAGAGAGGTCGGGACAGTACTTTGAAGATATGGCCTTGGTGATGGAACTGAAGCTGAAGATCCCGTGACAGAATCTTCAAGATCAACAGCTTCTTTGTTGTAAATATCTTTTTTTTTTTCAACAACATAAATGGCAACTGTGCACACGGTCCTCACCAAATAGAATCCACAGTAGAAACTCAATACGAGCAATGAAAATGACCTCAGGGGTTGCCTGTGGAATAGACCATCAGTTGTTCAAGTGAAAGATCATGTCGAAGTTGAAGAAAATGAAAACAAGTGCACCAGAGCCAAAATATGACCTTGAGTATATTGCGCCTGAATTTCAGGAACAGCTTAAAAACAGAGTCGACACATTTAACACTAATGACAGATACCTGAGAAACGGTGGGATAACATCAAGAACATCACACATGAATAGAGCAAGCGTTATTAAAAAGACAAGAAAGAGAAAAAAATCAAAGTACGGTCAGAAAAGATTCTGAAATTTGCTTTTGAACATAGAGTAGCTAGAGCAAACAGAGGAAAGACTGATGTCAAAAAAGCTGAGTATAAAATTTCAAAGGGCAGCCAGAGAAAACAAAGTATTATAGTACAGTAAGCAAAAACCTTAAGGTAAACAAGTGGCCATCTATCTCAGAAGCAACAAAGCCCACATGGAAGAAGCACACCAGCCTGCGTGATCACAAGGTATCGAAGGGATCAGATATTAGGCATCAAAGAACAAAAAATCATATCATTGTGAATGAGGAGGAGTGCGGAGCAGGGACCCAAAGCCCATCTGTAGGCAACTGGACATCCTCTTACAGAAGAGTCACGGGGTGAAGACGAGTCAGGCAGGGTGCAGTGTAGCAACAATGAAATATACAACTTCCCTCTAGTTCTTAAATGCTTCCTCCCCGCCCCCCCCCACTACTATCATGATCCCAATTCTACCTTACAAATCCGGCTAGACCAGAGGATGTACACTGGTACAGATAGGAACTGGAAACACAGGGAACATGGGTACAGATAGGAACTGGAAACACAGGGAACTGGAAACATAGGGAACCAGGACGGATGATCCCCTCAGGACCAGTGGTGAGAGTGGCGATACCAGAAGGGTGGAGAGAAGGTGGGGTAGAAAGGGGGGACCAATTACAGGGATCTACATATAACCTCCTCCCTGGGGGATGGACAACTGAAAAGTGGGTGAAGGGAGACATCAGACAGTGTAAGATATGACAAAATAATAATAATTTGTAGATTATCAAGGGTTCATGAGGGAAGGGGGAGCGGGGAGGGAAGGGAAGAAATGAGGAGCTGATACCAAGGGCTCAAGTAGAAAGCTAATGTTTTGAGAATGATGAGGGCAACTAATATACAAATGTGCTTGACACAATGGATGGATGCATGAATTATGATAAGAGTTGTACGAGCCCCCAATAAAATGATTTTTTAAAATGATAATGCTGTCTCTAAAAGAACCAGAGACATATATAAACAATCAATATATAAGTGGGGGCGGGGGGAGGGGAAAGACCTGAAGTTGGAAACCCAAAAAGGAAGAACACACTCAACGTAACTCAAACTGAAAGAACTGAAGAAAAAAAATTCAAGCCTCAAGTTCTAATACTGAAGGATTCCAGGGCAAAATACTGAACGATGCAGGAAGAATCAAAAGAAGACAGAAGAAAAACACAGAGTCACTATACCAAAATGAACTGTTTGACATTTAACCATTTCAAGAAATAACATATGATCAAGAATGATACTTAAGAGTCTAAGCTACACTGAAGGCATTAGCAAAAAATAAGGTTCCCAAAATTGATGGATTATGAACTGAAATGTTTCAAAAAGCTGGTGAATCACTAGAAGCACACAGTAGTCTTACAAATCAATGTAAAGAAATCCGAACAACTAGTCCAATAGACAACATTATAATAGAGTCAAGATTGACGTTTTCAAGGGTTCCATTTTGTCTGGATTCATGGTCATTGGTGCCTATGGAAGTAAAAGTTGTGAAGTCAAATGAGGGCAACTAATGTACATATGTGCTTGACACAATGGATGGATGTATGGATTATGATAAGAGTTGTATGACCCCCTAATACAATGTTTTATAAAAAAATTTTTTAAAGGGAATAAAAGACCTCTTTAAAATGTTATGAGCAATTATGCCACTTTGAGGACTAAGGTGTACCTGGCCCAAGCCATGATCTTTTCAATTGACTCAGGCAGGTGAAAGTTGGACAATGAGTTAAAAAGACCAAGAAGAACTGACACATTTGCATCCTGGTATTGATGAAGAATCCTAAAAGTATAGTGGACTGTCAGAAGAACAACAAACCTGTCTTGACAGAAGTAACGCCAGAATAAGCCTTAGAAACAAGGATGGTGAAAATGCTCACATACTTTGGACATGGTATCAGGAGAGATCAGTCCCTGGAAAAGAATACCATCTGTGGTAGTTACATACTCTGGTGTCAATTTAGGACTTGAGAGGATTAAGAGTGAAGGGGTGGAGTCTAGTCTGTCAATCAGGTCGTAGACAATAAGGCCTCTGTGTAGGCATGGCCTTCTCCTGAGGATTCTGGGAAATCCTATTTTTTCCTACTTGGAGGGGGGAGTTCTGGCTCACTGCTCACTCCTTGAGAGACAGTCTACTGATAAGGCTGACTCCCTATGAGACATCCCTAAGAAGCCACATGGACCTACTCTGATGCAGCCCTGGGTGCTGGAGAAGTCATGTGGAGACCCATGCAAGCGATGAGATGCTTACAACGCCACTGGATCCAAAGACTTTCTACCCACTGGCCTGTGATCATCTTGCATTGGGTGTCATTGCATGTGTTTTGTGAATCAGAAGAGGACTTTATAGACTGGTATCGGACAGGTGGGCTAATATCGGGCTTATGGACTTGCTCTGGACTGGGCTGAGATGTTTTCTCAATGTTCAATTCCTCTTGTATATAAAACTCTTTCTTATACATATGAGTGTCTATGGATTTGTTTCTCTAGTCTACCCGGACTAACACAGCATCTTTGACAAAGGAAAGTGAAAGAGAAAGATCATCAAGGAAATGGAACGGACAGAGTAGGAGCAACAATGGGATCAAGCATAAGGATTTAAAAGCTGGTGTAGGGCTAGGCAGTGCTTAATTCTGCTGTGCACACAGTCACTATGAATTTGAACCAGCAAGACGGCACCTAATGATATCAACATATCCTTAAAGGTGCCGGCTATGCAATCTTTTCTTGTGAAATAGCTGAGGGTGAGGTTGAAGTTACTTACCTTTCAATTAGCTGCTGAGCACTGAACCAAGGGGCCACCTGGTCTTCGGGGCAGTATGCAGCCTGGACCCAAACCAAAGACACCGATGATGTGCTGGTTAAATACTGGATTCCAGAAACAAACTACCCAGAAAGCA